GACCGTAAAAAAAATGTCAACCGTACAAAAAAATATAGCTGAGTTGTCGATGAAATATTAGCCGGAGTTGGAATAATTGCCGGAATCGGAGAAGTCGCCGGAAAAAATCGACGCCGGAATGGTCACTGGAACGGTCAATGGAATCGGAGTAGTTGCCGGACGGTCGTCGGAAAGTTCGCCGGAGTAGGACGGTGATCGAAATGGTCGCCGGAGCGGTAGAGGTGGTGAAGGTGAGATGGATTAATTATATTATATTAGAATTAAATATTTAATAATAAATTAATTTAATAATTTATGATTTCATAAATAAAAATTTAAAAAATTCTAATAAAAATCTGATTTTAGTAATTTCAAACTTGTTTTCTTATTTTTGAAATAGACTAAACTTATTCTAATCTTCCCTTTTCAATAATTTCCCCTCTTTGTAAGTTGCCCCATATTCCTAGTGGCGGTGACCCGAATCCATCCAGACTCAACTCGCCCGCTTCTAACTATTTATTTATTTACTGTTTTAACTTAATTTTACCCCACGTAACTATGTAGTGTAGAAGAAAGAAGCAAGTAGCCGTTAATGGCGAGTGAGTGCGGTGAATTAGTATATAAATTCTACAGAGCCCTAACTTATGGTTTGTCGCCGTTAGTATACCTACACCTACGGTGGCGCAAATTTCGAGGCCGCGAACATCCCCTCCGGTGGCGGGAACGTCTTGGCCGCCCCTCACTCAGCCGTCCTCCTGGCCCTCTTATTTGGTTCCATGCTGTCTCTTTAGGTAATTGTATTTTTCTAAATTCATTTTGTAACAGTTTACTACGATCCATTTGTCTGAGACATGTATATTCACTGTGGTTGTGAATAGGTGAAGGAATGGCAGCTATTCCTATCATAAAGTGCTGCGTGGAAAGGATGCCTGAAGTTTCTGTCTTGATGACGACCACAACTACTTCAGCATTGTGAGGCCAAATTTGATTTGAGTACTTTGTTTATTTGAATTTTTACGTTGAATTTGTTGTCGTTTGTCTTGTATTAAATTATAATGAGTTTTTAAAATATGAAAGGAAAACTTCTGATGCAGTCATTTAAAATTTGTGCTACTAGATTATTGCTTCTGCGTTTTATGTTCTCCTTAGATTGATTGCTATCGTGGATTTTGAATTAATTAGAACGATTGTGGTGCTGACTGTGTAATTTAGTAGTTACATTGGAAGTATTAAAGTTATTCTTTTAAAATAAGAGGGGGTCCTGAGATATGGGAGAATGGAGATAGGCTATTGTTTGGATTTGGGCATTTTTTGAACAAACGATTGACACATTCAAAATTTAAGTTTCACAGAGAATGAGAATGAGTCATATGAAAATGAATTGCAATAATTAAGGATAGATATCATTTTTAGTTTGTGCATTCTTTTAATCTGCATTTTAGTTGTGGTTATTTGATGCTATTATATCTCACGATAGCTCTAAGTTGACCATTTATATGCGTGTTTGATTGCCTTTATTCATTATTATTTGTTATGTAAAATCTTTCGGGTCACTTTTGATAGTGCAACCTTTTACAGTGTATTTCTCTTGAACTTGTGGTCCTCATTTGGGTAAACAAGGTAGAAAGATCTATTTTGAAGTCTGATTGAAAGATGTATGTCATGAAAACAGCTTGGATAAAACATAAAGCAAAAAAGAAATAACATGGAATGGAAGCAGTTATATCCCTTTTGAATTAACAGCATCTTACTATTTTTAACTTTCTTGAACAAGGTGTCCCCACTTTTAAGGAAGTTGAAGATGTTGAGCTTTGAGGCTTGATTGAAGGAAATGTTTTTGTTATTGTAACTCATCCCTAATTGTAAACTTGGGATGAGAACAGAATGAAAATTGAAGAACGTCTACTCAAGATAGACCGACATTAACTTGTTTTGTAGTAGATACTAAGGATCTAGATGCTTTAGACCTCATGGAAAAGTAGAGTTATGTAGTTGACCCAAATTTATTGGGAATAAGGCTTTCTTGTTGTCGTATATAACATCTAGTTGGATGATTGCCCCTTTTAAATTATTAGCAAGTTGGAGTTTAGTGATTGGCAGAAAAGATGTAAAGTCTCCAGCTCATTTGATGTGCAGTTCTTTTGTTTTACTTTATTTCTGCAATCACTTGGGCAACATCCATCTGTAAGTTCTGCTTCCTGATGTTTGATGTCTGCCAGTAGCATGGTGTTTTGGGGCGGTCCTCTTTTTGATGATGCAATTCTATGTCATTGGCGGTTGGCTGCTTTGGGTTAAATTAATTTCCTCAGTTCTGAATTTTCTACCATTTGAGAAAGCGTTCAGTATAATTTATTTGTTTTTGAATTGACACGATAAGTTTGTACTATTATGAATGATTCCTAAGCCTCTGGCTGCCAGCAAAAATCTTTTCCTCACTTATGGTAGAATCTAGATTAGCTTACACTTTAAGAGCATGTTTGAGCCCTATTTTTTTCTTAAGAATGCATTTTGAAATAGTAGATCGATGGAGAATGTGTAGTTGAAAAATAAGGAAAAACTTTAGGTTTGCGTGTAATATTATTTTATTGAAGAATGTGAGGTTGAAAAGAAAAGAGAGAAAAATGCATTTTGGAAATAATGGGGATCAAACAAGGGCTAAATATATGCTTAGTGGCTGATTGACAGATGTTGTGGACTTCAAAAGCAACAGATTATCTCCATCTACTTGTTAGTATCATGGAACAATTTATTTTGTTACCACTTCCACTAGACCAGTTCAAATTAATGAGACAGCAAATGTTTTTCTTTGACTCGGTTCCATCGCTATGTTGTCAAATAGTTTCTGACTTGGTTTACCCTTGACTTTGTTTTGAGCTGCTGTATCAACGGTCTGGATTTATATGGATGAGGCTTGCATTAAGGTAGTTGGCTTGATTGTATTGTCATTTGTCAATTAGTAAACAAAAGATACAATTTATCTGTTAAATTAGTTATTAGTCTACTTCAATTTCCTTACTCTAGAATACAGATTATCAATGTTTTAATAGGGGCAAGCCTCGTGGCATTTTGAGGCATAAAAACCACTTCGTTAACCAAAAAATGTCAAATTAAAATGCAAAATCATAAAAAATCGTAAACAATAAATTCATAATATAACGATTTAAAGTGTGCAAACATATAAAAGAAAATTATATAAAGTAACAAAAGAAGCTATTATATTAGTTAGAGGGTCAGTAGAGTATTCCCAAAGTAGATATATGAGAAACATTTTTTTTTAATGTTTTAACGGGCAATGGACTATTCCTAAAATCAAAATTTTTTATGTTTTATGGGCACACGCCTAAAATAAAGTAAATAAGTTTGGAGAATTAAGGAGCACGTGCCTCACAAGTCTTTAGGCGATGCTGTGAGGCGTATAACTCACTCAAGGTGTAGCCCCCTTAAACTGCCTCAGAATCAGTGCCTTGACTTATTTTTTTGCACTCCTCATTCTCAAGGGAATCTCAATCCTGTTTTTTAAAGCCATGTTGCATATATGTTTTGGCTTAAGTATTGAACTTCTTCGATGCTCTAGACTCCTTGAAACTTCTAATGATGTATTGTGGAATGCTCCGTATAGAGATGCTCTTATAGTTCAGCTTTGTAATGTTAAGCCATTCAAGCACAACCCTGTGATTAGAAGCTTTTGGGATTAATTTTGGTGTGTATTGGAAAAGAATGGATATGATAAATTTTGTTATACTTGATTTCTTACCTTTCTTGTGTATGTAACTTATGACAGAACCAGTAATAAAGTGAGATGTTTGAATTTTGAAGCAAATCATAACCAAAAACACACTTAATCAGATGAGTTTACTCTGAAAGCCTTGTCGTGTACGTGTGAAAACTGATATTGAACAGCAAGAGGGATTAAACTTGAATTTGTAGGCCATGCTAATATGTAAAGGAAAATTTTTCGAAGAGCCTTTCTACCATAGTAAAGGTGATATATGTCCACTTTCTAACACATCTGCATCCCAGCTCCCCTGCCCCGTTCCCTCTTTCCTCACCTCCCAAGGTAGCAATGGAGGGGGGAAATCAAGATTCAAGGGAGCTGTTTGGGGGAGAGGGGGAGGGGAAAAGTGTGGGAAAATTAGAGGCAGCAAGGGGTGGTAAGGGAAGAAGGAGAAGACATGTTAGGTGGGCTGGTATAGTGGGGGTTGGGTAGAAGGAGACACAAGTTGGAGGTGAGGAACGAAATGGAGACAATGTTGTCAACTGATTTACTGTGAAATTTTAGGATCCTAAGGTGCGTTCAAAGTCTTTCAATCTTAACAACGTCTGAATGCCATCTAGTTTTCTGAGTATTTAGAGAATTTGGGCTAGTAGATGCACTGACATCTTCTAAAAACTGTACAGCTCTTTAGCATGCAATGCAAGAGTCCCTTTTAACACTGGATGTGGATTAGGTTGCATTATCGTGTTTGTGAGTTTGACCCTTCATTCATCCTCGGAACTTCTCACGGTTTTTGAATTGATGTATGTCATTTTCCTATTTGATATGAAAAAAAGAGGAGGATGTTTCGGTAAAACAATTAATCTTAATATTATACAATACATAAAAGTATTAGTCCATTAATCGTGGATCCTAGTTCCTCTAGAAAGATCTAGGATAAAAGAGTAGCTCTCCTTGTATGAACATTATGTGTTCATTCACTGGAACATGTGATATTACACAAGGTAGTATAACATGCTGTATGAGTGACTTGCAGCAACACGTGTTGGTTCATTGCCAGTGGCAATAAAGATAGAAGCACTTGGAAGAATCTAGGTTGACAATAAAAAACAAATAACATTTTTTCGCACGAAGAATGGTTTCTGGAATTTATTGGCTAGGCATTTGGGAGTGACACTGACATGATTTGAACAAGTATATGGTTAAAAGACAAATCTTAGGGTTCATGTTAGAACTGTTTTGTTTTCGAAGGTTACTACATTGAGATGACTCTTACTCGATATTGTTTGCAGAATCGTACATGCTGATAGAGCTGGCAGAAATTGTTTTTCCTGTATATTTATTGCCAATTAATTAATTTCCGCCTAAAGAAATGATAGTTATTCACATTTGTGTATGTATTTTCTATTCCTTATTGATGCTGATGGAAATTGAAATTTTGGCTGTTTTCCACGTCTATTCTATTTTATTTACTTCGGCTTTTTCATTTATTTCTGCAGTGAAGTGATAAAAAACCAGCTTCCGAGCGATGTCAAATATCAGGTGCTTAAAATTAGCCATTGTTTGGTACCCATTATTTTCAAAATACATTTTTCTCTCTTATTTTCAACCACACATTTTTCAATAAAATAATATTACATGCAAACTCAAAATTTTTCCTTATTTTTTGTCTAATTACTATTTCAAAATGCATTTTTGTCCAAAAAAAAAAAAAATGGGGCTCAAATAGGCTCTTAGTAAGTTTTGCAATATTTTAATTAATGTTAACATTTATACTTGAGCCTTCTCATTAATCATCATAGATTAAAAAAAAATTCATGTTAAAGCTGAAATTTTTTATCAAAAGAGATATACTTTTAAATGAGTTAGCATTCAATACATTTTGTATTTTTAATTTCTATCAGTACTCACTTGTGAGACCATTTTGCACTCTTTTTGTATTTTACCACTTCTATGAAGTGCAACCCCCCCCCCCCCCCAACTCCTCCCCCTNCCCCCCCCCCCCCCCCAACTCCTCCCCCTGTCTCACACACATATGCATCAATACCATTCAATGTTTTAAGTGTTCTCATCAACAAGATTGGCTACTACAGTGAAAGTTGTCAAAACGTGAAATAATTAGATGTGAATCATGTGAGGATGAATAGTTCTTACGATATATTGTGTAACATTATAAGTGCAAAAGAAACTTCAGATGAGTAGACCTATTACTTTTCCATGAGCAGCAAATTCCTATCCGACCTCTATATTAGTTACTGCTATGGAGCTATAATTCACGCTGTTATTGATAATTTACTGTATTGTCAAAATAAAATGATTCTTAAGTGTGTTTCATCTATCATTTTTGTTCTTTTTATCCATGTTAGAGTTAGAAGCATTAAATAACTAAAGCAACTCCCTGTTTGTATGATGCTTAATTAGATCAAGCTGAGAATGACTTAGCTAGAGCGAGAGATTTCCGATTTGAGTTGTAACACAGTTGGGAGGGAAAAACTATTTCACTGGCATAGGGCACTTTATACAAACGCACACACATACGCACAGATGTCCGTATTGATAAGAAAATGTTGAGTATATGTCAGCACATTTAAGCTCAAGTTTTTGGTGGAAGTTTATCGGTTGTCTAAGTTTTGATACTTTATTTCCTCGTGCATAGATAAAACTTTAAATGATAGTTTCCCCTAACACTTGCACCTGGATGAACCAGTTTGCTCCACTTGACTTACCTACCGCCGTGGATGTTTTCCTTGGTTATTGGAAGCCAAGTGCAATCATACTATTGGAAAGTGAATTGTGGCCAAATCTCATTATGGGTGCCGCTAGGAATGGTGTAAGCTTTTCTCATTTCCAAGCTAATGTATTGTTTCTAAGAAACTGTTTGATTATTAATTATAATCTCCTGGAACTTTAGCAATTTCATTATTCTTTTAATTCCCTTGTTTTGCAGGGATCGGCATTAGTGGTGTTCTATTTTTGTAGATAACATTTTCTATTTCATGTAATATTTTACTTCTCATAATTAGTTACATTCACACCCTTTTTCTCTCTCTTCAGATTGCATTGACATTGCTAAATGGCAGAATGTCCAAAAAATCTTTTCAAAATTGGTCTCAACCGGCAATTCTTCCATTGATTAGATTGATGCTCTCAAAATTTTCATTGATTCTCCCATTGGTATGTTCTTATTTTCAGTCTTATAAAGAGTTTTAAATCCCTGTCTATCTTTGATTTGCTACACTTTTTCATTTTGTTATAGAGCACAAACCAAGGAATTCACTTTCAGCTGTTGCAAGCTCCACCTTTCATTATCAACTTCTCGGGAGACCTAAAATGTGGTATGGCCATAATTTCCAATTAGTTAGGTGCCTTAACAATTGTCAAATTCACAATGACTTTCTATTTTGGCTTACTTGATTTATCAACCCCGTTCTGGATCCCGCTTGTTATTTTCTTTGATAATCTAGTGCACCATTCTCAAATACAGCTTTTTCTTGAGTTTTTTAAGCTGGTCTTTTACATTTCAATCACTTACCTCCGTTTGCCAAACTTTATAAGTCAATTTATAAATGGTCAAACCAATTTATAAATGGACAAACTTTATTTTCAAACATACATTTGCATGGACCCATAAGTAGTATCCATGTATTCACCACTCATTTCTATTTGTTTATATATATTAAACTGCTTATAAGTTATTTCTAAATGGAGGGTTATAAACATTTTGTTTGTCCTTTTGATCATTAAAGCGCGCTCCATTTCATTTGACGACGAGTCTACTGAATTTATTTTGATGCTTTGTTTTCAGCTATTGATGATTGTGGCATTCTTGAGGGAGAGAAGAGCATTCTGGAAGATTTACAGGTACAGCTTGCTCATAGAAAGGTGTGGATGGCTTCATCCATACACAAGGGTGAAGAGGATGGTGAGTGTGTATAGATTTTGGGTAACTGCTTTTAAGATACCTGATATATGTTGGCCCTTGTGCGATTTGATATTAAGGAGATATGTTAGTGAAAGAAATTATCCAAGTAGGATGGAACCCTAATTCTTTTAGCCTTTTCATCTCATTCTTATGTGGAGGAGATATGTAGGAACAAAGTAATTTGCTTGAGGGTAATGACTTCTTTCTGGGTGGTCCCAATTGAAATGTCACTTTCCGTAATAGGAATTTATTTTGTTATTTCTCATGCTAGTGCATACAAGATGAAAATAAATATGCATTAGAAGACGTCTCTTATCTTCAAATTCAACTGTCGCCAATAATGTATGTTAGAATAAAGAATAGCTTTGCATACTTCACCATTATTTTATAAAACACCTTACACCTCACAGGTAGTCTATCTGAAGTGATATTTGTGTGTGCTTTGATGAGTAGAGGGGTTTAGGGGAAAGAAACGTGAAGAGTGAAGTGCAAGACAAGAACTTGCCGTGTATTTTTAACCGCCGTCAAATTTGGGAATTTCAATGAGCATGATATGTATTTCTTCTCTGTTATCAAACTTTTGTGCTGTCAATAATAAGCTTATAGTATTAATTTAAATGCTTTCAAACTTTTGTGCAGTTATTCTAAGAGCTCACAATGTGCTTAAACAAATGCATCAGGGTATTGTCACTATCATTGTTCCACGGCAACCACAACATGGGCAAGAGATCGCTCTGGTATGATTTTATTACAGAGAAGATTTGACTGATAATATTTCTTCATAAATTTACCCCTCCCTACCTACTAGACGAGTGCCAGGTTCTATAACATGACGCCAGGCAGGACAGGGGCAGGGGAATGTTGAAAATTGCTACACCTCCTAGCATGTCCCCTGATTCGGTTCCTAGATTTTGTGATGCTCAAGATATTTTTCGTAACTTCTTTGCAACGAAATTATGGCCCTGGTGATATGCTTTGCTGTATTATCTCTAGTTTCTTGTGAATGATCGAGAAGATAGAATGTTCCCTGATGTGATCCTAGATTTTGAGGTGCTTCTGAAGATACATTGAGCAACTTCTCTGTAGACAAATTATCGCCCCATTGATATGCTGTGCTGACACTGTATTATCTCAATGATCTTTTGAATGCTTGACAAAGGACACTCTTGGTCTCTTTCAATTTCATGAAGACACATATTTGCATGTAATTATATACTATCACATTCCTAGGGTCAGAAACACAACTTACTCTTCTCCATATCTATATGAATTGTACTTCATATGGCTGTCAAATTTTACTTTTTAACACAATTTTCCAGTCCTGTTTCAAATTTTAACTGTTTAAATGAAAGGCTGAACTTACCACGGCATTTGCTCTAATAACACAGAAATTGCAGAAGGAAGGAGTTCTTGTGGCATTAAGGTCTCGTCGTGATAAGCTTACGCCTGGAACAAATATATACATCGTTGACTCATTAGGTTTATGTACTTTCAACATCATGCTTTCTTTCCTGGATAAACATTTTTTGTTGAACCCCAAAGTTCAGATGCCATCATTAACTTTCTCCTTTTCCTTTCGTTTTTCAATTGTTAGTCACTCATCATGCCTAATTTTATTTGTTGTTAAACATCAGTAACTCCAGTCTAGAATAAAGGTATTTATAACCAATATTTTTGTTTTGCACTGCAATATTATTTAGACTAGGGGACACCATAGTTCTTATTTCCCAGGCTGGGAATCCCAGCATGCCTTTAAAGGCATTCTCCTCCAAAGTCATCTTTTATTATTGTAATAATTGAGGCTTTTTTGCTGAACTGAATGTGATCTCGTTAGTTGTAGCATTGGTTAGAGGATGAGGGATAAACCAAAACTAAAATGGCATGCTGTGATTGCAAAAGATTTGATTCTTCAAGATCTTTTTGTAGATTTAGTTATAGATTAAATGCGGTGGGGGAGAAACGCTTCATGTAGTCGACCTCAAAGTTATTGGAATAAGGATTTTTTTTACCGCTGTTGCTGATTTTATTTAAACATGATTTTCTTTAGTTTGTTTCATGCTATTGATTTTCTGTTAAACTAAATTGGTCTCTTCACTGATATGCATATAAATTTTTAATAAGACATTCACTTCAAAGAGGTGCAAGCCTTGCTAGGCTTATTGCGCTTAGGCTTTCTCAGTTCTCCACTGCATCAGTTTCTTACCCCTTTTACCATTTTCATATTCATTTAGTTGATCGGCTGATTGCAAATTTTTGAAATTAATGTATATAAAAAAAGTTATCCTCATTTCACACAATCTTTTTCTTTCCCTTCCGAAGTTCTCTTCCCCTCATCTGTTTGATTTTGAAATTGTGAAAATCCATCAGGTTTCTTTTGTCATGCTTCATTCACATTCGAAAAAATCTTCAGAACATTCTAAAATGTAAGAAAAACTGATGTTCAGAGTTTTACTTCCCTGTAGGCTCTGACCTTCTTACGATTGTCCAAATAAATACCCGTGAGTTACTTAAAGATTTCTTGTATTGCTAGAGGAAGATGGCCATAGTCCTTTGAGAATATAAAATTTGTGCATGTTTTCTGTCTCCACTTGCTATAGCAGGGATATTATTAAAAAAGCTGTCATATTTCTTTGTAATTCATAGGCGAACTGAGAGACTTCTACAGATTGACGCCAATAGCTGTTGTGGGAGGGTCTTTCTTACAGGGTTCAGCTGGTCATAATATATCAGAAGCTGCTGCAGCTGGTTGTGCTGTTTTGACTGGTTAGTTCTACATGAGTTTTGCCTTGCACATTTCTTTATATGGCGCCAATGAATTTTTAATTTCCTTTTTCTTGTTATCTATTTATCAGGTCATGACATAGGCCACTTCTCACAGATGGCACTAGAAATGCAACGTTTGAACCCTTTGTCAGTTCTGCAGGTATTGAGAACCATAATTCTATGTTATTGCATCTCATTTGTATTGCATATTAACTCACAATGATTAGCAACACCTTTCATTTTTTCCAATTATTTTTTGTGTGGGGGTAGGGGTATTGTGTTTAGGTGCTTGCTCCTATGTGTTCACTGCAGTAATTATGTTCTGAATGTGGCATCTGAATCATTTTATGCTTTTATTTGTTTTCTTTTGGAGCTTGAGATCAAATAAATTATTGCAATGTGATAGAAATCTTTGCAGTTCCATCACTAAAATCCATGTAGCAATGGCCAATTTAATATTGGTAGTACATTGGAGAGAACAAAACACAGACACAAACTAGTGCTCATTCCCAAGGCAGAAGAACATAAATGAAGATCTCTTCAAGATTGTGAAATGTAAATTTAAAAATTACTGTGTTGTGGAGCCTCCATTCCGTTAGACAATAAATTGCTCGCTATTTACAGAGTATCTGGCAATCTTGGAAGGTTCAACCATGAGTCCGGCACCCCTGCATGAGGGGGTGGCTGCATTCCACTAGTCACACTCTTTGTACCAATAGGGCAAGGCTAGCTTCTAACCGCAGTTGATGATCACAGGATGTGGTTGCTTGGATTAGAGTATTTTATGTATTAATATGGGGGCGGTAGCGGGAAATAGAGACTCCCAGGTTATTGAATTCAACTTGATTAACAAGCATTGCAACTTGAGGGTTCCTGATTTCCCAGAATAATGGGGCGTGGATGGTATAGACAAAGTACACTAATTTTATGACCTTTCAAAAATATATGCAAGAAAGAGAGGGATCAACGAGTGGAATCTGGAGAATGTAATGCGCAGAGAAAAGTACGCTATCTCGTGCGTATCTATTACATGCTTAAGATGAGGCTCAACTCCAAATAACATTATGTTGTTATGTTACCATATGGCACGTCTCTTTGTTGGACACTTCAGAGTGGCATGTGGAAGTAATACTGGTAAAAGTAGCGAAGAAGAAACTAAAAGCAGTAGTTCAAGTTATATCTTCATGGATTCAATTAATCACCACTTGAGTTAGCTCTTCAATGTAGTGCTTCGTTTTTGCAGATTTCTGGAGAAAAGCTTGTAGATGCTGTTAACGAGCTCTTCTGTAATGACAAAATTCTGGAAGAACGCCGTACAGCTGCAAAACAAGCATATCATGCTTTGTCTAGGGGAGTTGTTGAAAATGTATGGCGGCAGTTGCACTTTCACATTTTCAATAGATCCATGCGAGGGATGAATGTCGTAGCGCGGAGAACCTAAACGTGAAGGAGAAGGTTTATGTTTACTTGTATATTTAGGTGAGACCAATTGACCCTAGTGCCTGTTTGAATTTTGTGACGTCTGGAGTTGGAACCAATGGGATAATGCAAAAATTTAACCTGGATTGGAAAAGGAGAGAAATTAATTTATTATATCTCATGTACCCTGGTCATACTCTTATCGGCAGGACGAGGATAGACTTTGAAAGCGATCACAAGCCAAACTCACAATATGTCCTTACATAATTATCAATCCTGCTATAGGTACAGGATTCATATTACATAAAATTTACAGGTTTTTTAAAATTGTTGATCTGGCATTTAATTTTTTTAAAAAAAGTCAAAAAACTAAAACCAAAAGAGTCATCAGTCTCTCCGTTCATTTTGCCCCAAATCCCACCCAAATAGAAACCTCTCAGCCTCTCCGTTCACAGAAAACCCTCGTGCACCAAATTCCACTCAAATCGAAACAGCTGTCACACTACGCTCAACCTCAGGTTGGTGGCCGAAAGAGAAACCAACCGTTGCATTAATCTCCATCTCCACCTCCGGTCGGTGGCGAAGTCGAGAAGAACACACAGATGTGATCTTGCAGAGTTGAGTGAATCCTGTAGGATTGATTCATTGCATTAGTGAGATTGGGTGTAAATATGTGATTTTGGTGGCCTAGCTTAATTTAGTTGTTATGAAGTCTGTATTTTTTACGAGTTTGATGATTAATATCTATTCACCTGTAGTTATGCATGTGGATACCGGTAAATATGTGATTCATGTTTTGAGGTCGAACGGGATACCGGTAACAAAGGTCGATTGTTCTTCATCTGTAGTGATGCATGTGGATATTTCGATTGGGTGAAAGATGTCACTTTAAGTGGGGAATCTGATTTCGTTAGTAATGTGGTGAATCATGCGCCGAACGAGGAAGACGAAGAGTTGCCAAGACTATTTGACAGGCTAGCTAGAATTAGCAAGAAGTGAGGCGTCGACATATCACTGCAAATTACTTTCAGCAAGGGAAAAGAAATTGCCAAATGTGGTGGCGAAGGAAAGGGTTCGGAATGATGGATATGCCATCAGTCATTGTAGGCTCAAAGTGCTCATGTCTTAGAATCTTAGCCCTGTTTCTAGTTCATATGTAAACTTTCAGCAATATTTTCCTGCAATTTCAATGTTATAGTACTGCACGTTTTGCAATCTTATTTTTTCCAGCCATTTCAATCTTATAGTGCCATTTATATGCAGCTCTATCGCATGAACTTGAAGAATAATACTTAAAGATTGTTGGATAAAATCAGCAACATGAACTTGATTGATGACAATAACATAATCTAACAATAACAAACCAGATGGCATTAAAGAGTAGCAGCTCAAAATGGACCGTAAGGTAATAGACTACCAATCTCAGCCGTCTAACATCATCTAACAATAACAAAACCACCTCAGTTTCACATGCACAGCCAACATGGCCAATCAAATGTACTTACAAACACAATTAAATTACTAACAGAACAAGATGGTAGCAAAGAGTAGCAGCTCAAAATGGACCTTAACCGTTCGTCATACTTTTCTATATGATTTAAACTAAATCACGGGACTCAATCTATTAGTCCTTGGTTTGAGATTAGCACAAAGGATATTAGAAATGCACTAATCATCTGTTGAATGATAGCTGGGGAATTGCCATATGAATTATCATCATTTTTTAAGCCATGCCCATAATCTCGAAAGCGGACTCCGGATCAAGTACTAGAGAGCATCACAGAACAAAAAATCTTGAACAGCTGAGAACTTTCTGGGCTCAAATATGAAAGGAAAAACTAGAATAATGTCAGAACAGAAGCAAAAAAGCACCAAAACTAAAACTAGGATGTCAGGTCTCCCAAAGAATATAACTAGAATTCCTTTACTTCACAAGTACAAGATCAGATTTTATCAAATAATAATGGATCCACTCACTTTCCCAATACATAAAACCAATTTCACAACATAAGTAGTCTTACAAGAAGATGGCCAAAGATATTATCAAGAGATTTTCTAATACAACTCAGTATAAGATTGGGAAAATGTACACATTAGCAGTTACCTCATACATTTTGTATAAAATTAGGGACCTTTTTACCACCTCCCCGCATTGTACAGACAGCTTCATCGAAAAGCAATCAATTTGAACTCCAAGGATGTTACTTGAACAGAATTTTCAAGAAATCACAGGTTTCAATGCCAAATGAATCTTTAAGCCAGATAAAGTAGTCCCCCAAACACTAACTAATAGGCCCTGTTTGATCAATCAGGATGCCGACCTGTTCTCCACATAATGCCCTTGAGATATTCCCAGGCTCATGAAGATTGAAAATGACAACTGCCAGAAAAGAATGCATCTTAATTGAGACAAAGTATATAACAATTAGAAGTATTAATTATTTTCAAGCATCTCCAACACAAATCTATGCAAGGACTGAACAGTAGTAATTTTAAGTACAGATGAGAATGAAAGAGACAGGTTTGAGATGCATAAAAATTAAATAAATGTCCCACTGTTTATGCGAGTGAGGGTGAAAGTGGGGAGGACGAGTTGGTTGGTGGCACGAAATGAGTTACGGACCTGGAATCCCGTTCTCCTCGCAGTATGTCATAGCCATCATGTCCATTGGAGATGGACCTCTAGAAGCCAAGTCCCGGAAGGAAATGTGCTCTGCCGCAATATTGTTATTTCTAGGGTCGCAAACAAAAAGACCATCTATGTTTGTTCCTTTCATCACAGCATCAGCATGAACTGAATTGAATCAAGGTTTGAAATTTCTATCAGAACTCGTAAGAAATCAAGAAGAATTTAAATCAATAAATCAATGCTATACTTTCTGATGCTCTAAGAGCTGCAGCTGTATCAGTAGAAAAGAGTGGACTTCCTGTCCCAGCTCCAATACCACCAAATATCACCACTCTTCCTTTTTCAAGATGCCGGATGGCTCGTTGTCTACTATATGGTTCAGCAACCTCTGGCATAGAGAATGCACTCTGCAAGCGTGTCTGCACGCCCATTTTCTCCAAAGCCGACTGCAGCAGTATGGAGTTCATCACGGTTGCCATCATTCTGGTTTCAATAAGAATATTATCATTGTCAGCCAGCTCATGAATGAGAACAGGTTAACCACTATGACATACATCCCTTTTTATTTAATAACTTATCAACAATATAAATAAGTTTGAGGCTCCTCAAATTTTTAGATGAGGAAGACTGTGCGCCTCTGGTGAACAAACAAAAGTACCATAACAAAGGCTGCATAATCTATTCAATTGCATAGTATGAACTGTCCAAATTAATTAAGTATTTCATTAACGAAAATGCCTTCTCGCATTTGATGGCCAAGGTGAGTCAGAATTGCTTTGATGACTGAAGGTTCATATTAGAGAGGAGAAAGAGGGGAGTAAAAAAGTTAATTATATTTTTAGTGCAAAAGATTGTAATAGAAAAAATTGGTAGTCATTCAAAAATGGTTTAAGAGGCTTCAAAATTAGAAGCCCATTGTAAGTTACTAAATTTGAGTTGCACCAAGCACAAAAAACTGACCCTTATTCCCAAACAATCTAAAGTCAAAGTATTGCATCTCTCACAGGGCACACCATAGTTAACCCTTGCCTCAGCATTTTGCAATCTAATGCAAAGCTTCGTTGGTAAGGGGATAAACCAATCGAATACAAAGAAGATTCACGCTGTAAGAAGTAAAAAAATTTTATGATGGTTGAAAACCAGGCTCAATCATCCTCCTACATCCGAGCACGAGATCGGATATGAAAAAATAGGTGAATAGTGTTGCAGGTGGAGCATATAGTTGAAACTTAAACTAGAGAGGTCGGCAAGCTTAGGAGAGCCATGAGTTATACTTTAGTGGAATGGAAGAGCCATAAAGAATATCCTACCAAATTAAGGAGGATGTTATGCATTTTAATTAACAAATGCAATGATTTGTTCACGGAATTTTGATTACACCAGTTAAGAAAATTTTGGTGATTATGATTTTAAAAACTCTCTGTAACATAGTTAATTGGTCTCATGTTACATTATTTGAGTGAAAGTACCTGTATAAGGATATGGGTAGCTTCCAAACTAACCAAGCCTAAAATTCGTCGACTACATAGATAGGATCAGGATGGTTAGCAGACTATGTATATTGTTACATTTTTCGATTAAAAATTTTTTTTTTTCCTCCCAAAAAGGTGTTCATGATAGTGCTGGAGTCAGATTCCCGAAACTCAACATTCCAACAATTACCAACACCAAAAATCAAATGCTTATGGTTAATCAATTGAAGTAGAGATCTGGTTGCACGGTAAATTCTGACTGCATAGGAGTCTATAGTATATTGTAATTGCAATTCATTTCATAGTCTAATAAGATAAAGAATTACTAAATTCCATTTATAATTTAAAATGATGTATAACTTCAAGTCAAGAAACATACCCAATTTGATATGCAGTACACCTATCCAACCCTGTTGAAGTAACCCATGTGTCTCCACAAAAGAAATTACGGCCACCAACGACAACAGCAACCTAGCACAATGATTGAAGGTATCCACAGTTGATCAAATTCAAAGACACCAAAATTCCAACCAAAAGGTGAGCATGTTAACTAATACCTCAACACCGTATCGACAAGCTATTGAAATTTCTCTTGCAACCAGCATGGCTACCTATGATTAGAAAATCAAAAGAAACTAATCAAACCTGATGGCATACCAGTCATGAGATAACTTAAATCATTTTTAAAGAAACATGTTGCATTGCAGTTTTAACAATTAGAGTGTGTTTAATTGCAAGCATGAAACTTGCATGGAAAGAAAACAAGGTCTGAATTGCCTAAAACTTATTTGCATGGAAATTATAAATTAAATGTGTTTTATTGGTTTAATTTTCAACCTAAAAAATGTTATACTTATTGGTGGATAGATGAGAAAGAATGGGCATAAAAACCTTCCCCTCCCAAAAGAAAATGTTTTCTTTGTTTTTAAGGAAAATATGGTCCCATTACCAACTTTTGGAAATTAATGTGGATTTGAGGAGCAAAATTATCACCACTCATTTCACGATATACTTATGAGCACAGTAATAATGTAAATTTGAAGAAGAATTTCCAGAATTGATCAAGCTATAACAATCAATTTCATATCTTTCACAAAGTTTCTTTGTACATTTCTCTTCATATATTTACAATTTGTTAATATTGTTAAAATAAATTAAAAGATATTAAAATGTAATCATTTGTTCAAACTCATTGCCAGTAATTAGAGCAAACAATGGGTATAATTTACAAAAATACTATCGAGAAGTAATCATGCATGCAAAAGATAGAAAATATGAAAGAAGAAAAAGTGGTTTAAGAAAATAATTTAAAACAATCGTTTAAATATAAAATAAAGATTAGTAAAATGAGAAATGTATATTTATTTTATTTGATAGAAACACCAAAACAGTCAGATAGTTCGGAAAATGTCAGTGTAATTCGCTGGCTAGCTTGAAAATTGGATCCAATTATAAGATAATAAAATGGAGTTAGCATTAAACCTTTGGATCTATATTATTTGAAGTTCCAGCTAGAGCAGCGCCACTTATTTTGAACACTACTCTTCGCCACCTAAGATTAGCAGATGGTTTCGACTTCAGCGTCATAATCTGACCAGCGGGACTTGCAGTTGCAGTTGCAGATGCCGTTGCATGTCTGCCAGTGGAGAATGTTTTAGATCAAAATAGAAAACAAAGAAGTCAGAAAATCAGATAGAATATAGATTCTACCAACTGAAAATATGTCCAAGTCAGCTTATATCATAAATTCAAAACTCAGAAGTATAGACTCCACTATGAAACAACTAAGATCCACCCATATCAGGTCCTTTAGCTATTGTTCTTGAGGAATTGCCCGGTCTGGACCATTTCTTGAAAGAAGTTTTTACGGGATCCCAATCCAGCAAATAGAAATTCCACCATTGTTAGATCATCTATCTAATTTGCTGATTCGAGAAGAATGGACCAATAAGGGTTTTTTTTGAGAAATGGGAAATCTTCGGTTTTTCAATACATACGAATTCTAACTTCTTTCTTCCTTATAATAGAAAAAAGTCACAAAACTTATCGAATTAACTTCTCATTGATATATTGTTTCATCGAGATTCAATCCAAATCATGATGGTATTTTCCCATCATAAGCTAAATAGGTTAAAAGCACTATTAGTCGCTCAATTTACAAACAAGTTTCATGTTAGAAAGTGACCCTTTTTGTTTCAGTTTGATCGCTCGGTTAAAATTTGTCAATTTTCTACAAAAAATGTCCATCACACAGAACTTATCAGAATCTCCGTCACATATATAACATATTGCCTACTGAAACCTTCAACAAATAAATTTTCTTTTGTAACTAGTTTCTGTCAGTAGTTCGCTAGAAAATGTATGCTGCAATTCAGTGAAAGTGACAATACAGATTACAATTAATCAAGATATATTTTTTCATATATACCTCTTTGGCTGCCTAGTACAAATGGAGGATCCACCACTGACGGAGTTCTTTTCCTCATCTGCAGCAGCTTTAGCCGCAATACTGTTCCCAACAATTTGCTCCATCTGCTGGAACCACGGCCAGTGACTCGCCGGTAAGCCGCCGTTGCTCAACCGATGCCTCTCCAATTTGTATCGCTTTTTCAAATTATCCACCTTGTTCTTACACTGCTCCACGCTCTTGCTCTGCTTATCGCATCTCTCGCTAACCGTCGCCGCCACCTCCTCCCAGTCCCTTCCCCTCAAATTTCCCCTATTCAACTGCACAAACTTATCAGTATACGCCTCCAACAAGCACGCGATGGCCGTGTCACTCCATTCTTCTCTGTCCTTCCTGTAGTCACCAGCGGAAGAGGAGGCGGAGTGTAGTCTTGTCCTTTTCGAAACACCGTTGCTGATTTCATCGCGCTCGGCAGCTCGTTTACCGGATCGGGAGCTCGGATCCGGTTCGGAATCGAACGGATCGGAGTCTTGGTCGTAAGGATTGACACTAAACGGCGGCGTTTGGATGGTGGCGGAAGGTTGGGTGGAATCAGGGTTTTGGTGGTCGTCGAGAAGGGAAAAATCGTCGTCACAGGAGGCCATGGACGGCGTTAGGGTTAGGCTTGACGGAAACGGAGAAGAACAGACGGACGTGAGAGAAGGCGTTTGGGGAATTTGTGGTGGTTGAGGGAGAGGCGTTTAGTGTGTGACGAGTCCGTTAGGTAAGCACGTGTTGCGTGGTCACGTGAGTGGGCCCATTTTTTTTTTACGTTACGAAAAGCTTCTGTTTTCTAATCTGCAAGTGCGGTCCTCAAGTTACGATTGAGAGTTATATTTGCACCTGCAGCCCTCAAACTTTGAATTCGATCGCATCTTCATGCCAGCTCCTTCTTGTCCTCCTCTTCACCGTCACTTATCTGGTCGCTACTTTAACCTGCACTTCGTCAATTAAATGTCCATGTCCATCTTATCGGTTTTAATTCCATTGTCCCAATTTTTTAAGATAGTGAAGATAGCGAGAGAGTGAAATCACCATCTACTCGTTTTCAATCCCATTTCTACAACATTCTACCATTTAGTACCTCAGTAAAAAAATTTCCAATCATATTTAGCGATGGAGAATAACACTTTAAATGGTGTGACGACTAATGAACATACTGAAATCTTTGACAATCTTAGTGAAAGAATAGTGATATAGGTGTGGATAAAAATGTGTATTTTTATGCAAAAAAAAAATATATATATTTACTAAGGAGGTGTGAAGCAATGTTAAAGGGGTTTTAGGTGGCATGTTGGGAGAACGGAGCACAAGTTCAAATTCGGTCTTTTAAGGATTTTGTGGCTGCCAAGACCAACTTCATTTATAGACCGATTACAACAAGCCAAGGGCAAGATCATGGGGATACTAGGGGAATGGGAGTTCCTCGTCAACGTTATTGTTGGACATTATTTGTTAGGGCACTCTCATTCCCCATTTCATGTATTGGATACTTTTTCTGACGTCTATAAAACTCGAACACTCTCCACTCTATAACATGCCCACATTGGTCCTAAAATGCACTTATAAGCTCCATGTAATATGGCTTGCTTGGGAGAGATTATAAGTTGTGGTCATATAGAATGTGTGAATTATATGTGGGTAGTAGTTGTGAATGTTGGAACTTTATT